CGTCACATTTGTTTCGACGCTTACTGCGGATCATTACAGCTGTGGGCCCTTGCAGAGAGTGGGACCTGTTGTTGAGATTCTCGTGCCGGTGTTTACGCGCGAGCCAACTGCGAGTGAGTGAGGGTCTCGTGGTGCTGGGTGTGCGCGTGCGCGCGCGCGAACTCGCTGACTCGACTGTGGCCTATGGCTGTCTCATCAGAAGAGAGTGACGAGCCCAGGCCCCAACGGCGAAATCGGAGTCGGCGCCGGCGTCGGGCCCCGGCCTCCGGCTCGCTCAGCTGTGACCGGCAGATCCCAGGTGTCGTCTCCCAGGAGCCGGATGCGTTTGCATTGCATGCCTCTAACTCGCCCCTAACCCGTACCATATCTTGCACTCGTGGTCCCCCACCTTTGCTACTGGACAGGACTGGCCCTGTTCAGGATGTAGCTCCGCCCGTGTGCTGTGCGCCACTGCCCCTGCGTTGGTTGGAGATTGGAGTCAATGGAAGGGCACGGGGATGGAATTGTGTTCACGCTTGACGTGCAGGTTCGTAGTCATTGGTGCGAATGGCCACTGACGCTGCCGGAAATCTCTTCGGAAACCGGAGGAAACCGCTTCCGCTTTAATCCACAACTCGGCGCAACGCCGGTCACAGCGGTGTGACTTGTGCCTAGCAGCTCGGCGTGCGTCGGTGGAAGTATCGTGCCTACGGCGCACGGTGTGAAATGCTGCTTCTGTTCTCAGGTTGCTGTATAAACTTTAAAACGTGTTACCAAACGAACTGCCTGAATGTACAATGAGGGTGACGAGCCTCTTTTAGTTGCTAAGAAATTGGAGTCGCCTCTGCTACCACAGCAAAGGTGATTGGGTATTGATCGTCTCCCGTGCTCCGCTACGATCCACACGCAGCATAGGAGGAAAGAGGATTCATTTCTCGTTTAAAAGTTCGGACAAGCGGTGCTCATCTCCATTGAAGGCCCTGAGCCAGCAAGTGTTGGAAATTCCACATCCCCACGTGAGGAACCAGTTTCTTTCTAGAGCAATCCACTGCTCATTGTATCAACCATGGAAGCATAATGACTCGAGTTGAGCACCGACCTGGAATTGAACTCGCATATATTTATTGTGAGCTTGGCACTCTTGACCACAGCTCCACACCCGGCCAGTTACGGACTCGAACTCAGTGGTTCTTAATCTTTTACTGCAGCCTGCTCCCCTTTGGTTTTCAATTGTAAAAAAAAAAGACGTAAAAAAATACATGTTTGATGAAACAAAGTAGTTGTACTTACGTGTCCATGCTTAATTTGTGTTTTAGATTATTTACCTTCCAGAAAAATCTGGCCGTGTCTCACACCCCCAGAAAGGGCATTTCGCATCGACAGGGGGTGCGTGCACCCCAGGTTAAGAGCCACTGCTCGAAATGGTCAATGAAAACAATTCCGCTGTAATCCTCCTGTTGGCATTCTGCTTTTACAATCAACAGAAGTGCGCAACTGTGCATCCGAATGCCAACGATGAGTAAACTAGTGATGTGGGCCTCTTGGTGAATGGAGCTCACTCACTGGTGTTTGAGATCTATGTAGATTTATCAGTATTGTTGACACTGGAGTTTGCATTGGTGATTTAAGAACGTGACTTTGCTGTTGACCATACCTGCGGCTGGGTGTGTTGGTGGGGATGTGTTGCTGTATTCAGAGAGTCCACCTACGTGTGAAACTTCCTCTGGTCACTGCGGGTCACGCTTTCCCTCGCAGAAACGAGGCGTCTTGTTTTCGTTCGGCTCATGTTCATGATGGCGGTTTCTACGTTACCAAAGTTTATCTAACATGTGTTACATGTAAGCATGCACTTATCGAATGATACACACTCACAAAGAGATGTGATTGTTGATTGGGTGTTTCTTTAGCTTGCTGCTAATATAATGCTGTTGACTAATTCACTAATTTTAAATGAGTTTTGTGCGTCTATTGCAGAGGAATAACCAGCATGTGTTTTTCGTGCAGGCTCTGAGCCCTTGCGAGTCCTGTTTGAGCGTGCGTGAATGAGTGTGGTGGTGGTATTGGTGGGTTGAATCCATCGTGTGTGCGTGTGCACTGTGTTGTTTGCAGTGACGGTGGCCGACTACATTTCTCGAGCCGAATCCCAGAGCCGGCAGCGACCGCCCACCAAGGAGCCTCCACATCCGGTAATCAGACGGATTGATCAGTGGCTGTCCTCGCAGCCAGGCGAGCGTAGTCTTGGTAGCAGTACCCTTGAAGTTTGTCCAACACCAGTAGGCCCCCTTTCAAGGGATGTTGCACCTCGCACCGCAATGCCTCAGGAAGTTGAGGTTTGCAGCTGGACTGGTGGTCAATTTATGATTCTTGGTTATGATCCCGATTTAAAGAATCTTTATCTGTTTATATGTCTCATTTGTGTTGGGCTTGGAATTTGTTTTAGGGTTAATTATATCAGTCTACGGCACACAAGCATATAATTTGCATATACTGTACAAAATCAATTAGATGTGCAAGTCGGTTCATGTATCATGATGGGCGCAGTTTATTTTCACCGATCGATCCGTTCCGCATCTAGAACTGACCGAGCTTTTGGAAGTGAGCAGCCAATCCTGGCTGTGGGTCCCTGCAGAAAATTACTCGCCGCCAAATACTTTTTTCCTTTCAGGCACGGGCAGACGGATCCCTGAGTGGGGACAGCCCCGGAGCTCCTTCGAATGGCGGTGATATCGCCGCCGCCGCCACCACCGCTGTTCCCAGTGCCGCCAAACAGCAGCGGCCTCCTAAAAAGAGCGACCCCACAGATGGGAAAACTGAAGTGGGTCCGGCTGAGATGCTGCTAAACGGCGAAGCGTAACCGGCACCAGGGCTTGCCCCCACCTCCCGCGCTCTCGGTGCGAGCGCGTGTTTGTGAGTCCGTTCATGCGTGCGTTCATCCATGTGCGTTTGTGCACGCGCGTGTGCGAAACGTGGCGCTCCGTAGTTCGCTGCAAATGTTAACGCGTGCCGAGTCCCACAGGGCAAAGCCAAAAGATAAGCGCTTGCGTTGAGAACCTGTGAATAGCGATGAAGTAAAAATGGAGCCATTTTCAATTTGAGCCCCACACGAGAGGAAGGTGGTGGTGTGCCTTGTTACGATAGCGGGGCTGCTCTGCATCGGCGTCTCGTCTCCGGCGCAGGGAGAGCGGCGGAGAAATTTGACCACAATTGTAAGACAAAATCGCAAATGACAAGAATTGTTCGCCCACAGTATGAACACTTTGTTTACTTTTGGACAAGCACTCTGGCTGGGATTGCTGTGCGCGTGATGCCATCACTCGGGCCGTACACAGAGTTTCTCTTTTCCTGTACGTGTGGTTTGGAGCAAACCCGTAAACCTAATCGTATGTAAGACTACAGACGCGAAACTGTGGAATCTGATCCCATGCTTTCTGGCGTTGCCAAATAAATGCATTTGTTACAACGTTTTCAATTAGTACTTGTTTATTTATTCCAGATTGCAGTATTTATTATGGCTTTCTTTTTGCATGTGCTTTTTGGGTAATTGTTTTGTCCTTCGTAATTTATATTGAAGCCAGGTCCACCCATGAACAGTGACGTGGGGCTTGCGTTATCAAGCACTGTTATTCTTGATGTGCAATACACTGTATGCAAATAACAAATAAAGCTTGACCTGCCACTCACCCCTCTGCCGTTCAACCTCCACTGTCGTGGTTCATAAGAGTTGCAGCCGGCATCAATAAAACATGTCTCTCGCTGCGAAGAGGGCATGCAACCCGTTTGTGAATGCTGTCTCTATGGTTATATTGCTGGAGGTGCGTGGCGTTTTTACGTTCAGCCTCTGAGACTTGAATCTTTTAGAGCGCAACCGCCCTCTTGGCCGCGGCGCTTCTGTCACGGAACCCAGCGCTGCTCACTGATGATCCGATTCTGTGCGTCTGCAGCAGCCACTGTGGCTCCTAAACTATGTTCAAGAGCCCACTTGCAGTGTGCAGGAGGACTTACACAGCTCAAACTACATCTGTTATTCACAGCCTGAGATATCCAGGCTTGAAATACCCAGGCTGGGCCTACCCAAGCCGTGCCCCCCCGTATAGCCTGAATGGATTGTTGGGGCAAGTGCTGTTCGCCATCAACTATTAAGGCCGGCTGGGCAGGGCAACAGCATGCCAGGGCCGTCTTTGTCACCCTAATGCTGATTACACACTGCGCCAGGTACTTATTTAAGGCTGTCAAACTCGGAGGCTCAGGACCAGTTCAGATCTCTATTCATCACTGAATTTTGTAGTGGAATTGAACCCTGGTCACTGGGTTTGTAGTGTATTGTGCTAACCGCTGTGCCATCACTCCCAACCATCACTCACCCCCACCAACCTTGGTGAAAAAGCACCCGAGTGCACCATTACAGAGGACAACTCGCACGGTTCACTCGTGTTACTGCCCCAAACACTGATAATTCCATCGCTTCAAACATGCGCTCCTTGATTCGCCTCGCATCGAAAACACTGTGATGCTGAACTGTGGATTATTTATAACCTAACTTGCAATTGCATTTCACTTGTACATTCTCTGTTTACGTAATTAGTACAATAAGTCTCACCCTAAATGTTTTCTTGAACTCAATTGTTATCTGCTTAAGCTGGCTTGCATTTACGGCGATTGTATTAACATTGACTCCTCACGTGACGCAGTTTTTGTTTGCATTTGCTGTACTTTATTTTCCTTAGTTTTTATCGATGTCATTTTTGGTGACCCAGGGGTCACACTTGCAAATGACTCCTCGTGGCCTCTCGAGCTCTTGCCAGGTTACACAAAATAACCTTGAAACGTGACCGACCACCGGTTTTAGCCCGTGGCGCAGCGCGCGATCACTCGCCGCGCGCCTCCCATCCTCCAACGTGTATTTTAACACTCGCCAAAATCACTCACTCGTACACTTAAGACAGGCAATACCAGATGTTTTTTTTCCACTCGCGTAACACAGATCCATGTTCCAGACTGACACACGAGTATGCACACACATCCACACATATAAAGACGTATTTTATTCAACTCCCATCAGTTTGAGAAACCTGAAATCCAGAAAACCCAAAAAAAGATAGCAAACTGCCACACCCAATACTCTTCATTATAGAACCCTAAAGAAACAAGAAGCTAGAGCAATTCCCTCAGAAAAATTCCAAGAATTCTGCGTGGAACCGCCACAAAACCAATGGGCGCTGGCGCTCGGCCGTGTCCATGAATGCATGAAAACGCTGGAACAAATTCATCCCTTTTAAACTTTTGCTTTCGGAGGTGTTAAAATACATCTTTGTGGATTGCTATGTCTCAATGGAAAAATGACATGGAAAAATAGGCACGCTTACACGTGAAATCTGTACACAAATATAGCACTGAAGTAACTTTTTTCCGTTGACTTTTTTTAAAATGTTATTTAATTGTATTTGGCAACGTGTGCATGACGAGTGAAAAATCACAACAAAGTGCAATCGGCTTGCCGTCGCCGCCACCAAATCATGGCGGCCGAAGGCTCGGATGCCCGCTCCTTCCTCGCAGTAACTCGCCAGCGCTTCACCCGCACGCACACAACTCGCGAGTCTAAATGAGAGTGGCGTTAGTTTGCTGACTATGCTGATGACTGAAAGATCGGCGCGCCGATGACGCCGGCGCAAATAAGTCGGCGCCCAGGGCGTCGGCGCCCAGCCCAAATGTCCCCCCACCGCCCCCCCCAATCGAAGTGGCGGAGGCGACGTCGCGAGCGCCGGGCGCGGAGGGCGCCTCGCTCCGTTCCGCTTGAACTTCGCGCAGGAAGTGCTGGAGCGCGGAGATGTAGCCGCGGCACTGCCACGTGTCGTTGTGCGTCCCCTCGCGGAACGTGGCCATTCGTTTGAGGGGGGCGGGCGAGAGGTCATGCAGCCGGCTCATCATGACGGGGGGAACCAGCGAGTCGGCGAGCCCCGAGATGAACAGCGTGGGCACGCGGCAGCTCGCGATGTTCTCGTGCGACGGGAACCGGCTGCGGAAACACCAGGACGGCAGCGGGAACGGCCGACACGACGACGAGGACGACCCGCCGCCGCCGCCGCGCGAGAACACCGGGAAGAGCGCTTGCGCCATGTGCGGGATGCTCAGAAAGGTGTTCTCCACGATCAGCGCCAGCGCACCGTGGTGGAGGAGGCGGCGGCGGTGGTGGTGATGGTGGTGGTGGAGGCGGCCATTTCCGTCGCCGCCGCCGCCGCCGTCATCTCCGTCCGGCCGCTGCTGCTGGCGGGCGGCGAGGTCGATGGCCACGGCGCCACCGAGCGAGCGGCCAAAGAGGACGACGCAGCTTGGATCCACATCGGGGCGCGCCATCGCGTGCGCCAGCGCGGCCTGGGCGTCGAGGTAGAGGCCGTGCTCACTGGGCTCCCCGTCGCTGTGGCCGTAGCCACGGTAATCGAGCAGCAGGACGTTCACTAAGCGGGGGGTGGGGCAAAGGGGCGAGACCGGCGGCAGTGACGGAGGAGACAAGAAGCCACACAGAGGGCAAGGGAGCAGGAAGCAGCGGAAAAAAAACATGAAAGGTGGGATTGGGGAGACACATTGGGGATACAAATCAAGATGTCGTTACAATACCGACTGTAAACAAACAAGTAAACCATTACGTATGTAGAACTTCTTTTGCACCATACGTAGCCAACTGTGCTAATTCACTGTGTAACAAAGTTTGTGGGTAACAATCGCCGTTTCCTGTAACTTTTGAGGCATAAGCAATGGGAAAATAACACTTACTACCCAGGAACAAAAATCGTGTTATGTATAATCGGAGGTGCGGGGGACGGACAACAAACTAAACATAAACCATGAGACGTGAGAACGCAAAGAACAGGCAACGGATCTGATATTTCATGGGACCTCCCTTGCCAGTATCAAAATATAAGAATAGGTTTTACCCTTTCTGGCAAAATATATATTGTGATACTGGCAAGGGAGGTCCCATGATGTAGCTGCTCACCCCGAGCTCTCAATGTCCTGATAGTGGCATTGTCCTTGTGCTGTTCGCCTCTTGGCGTCCTCTGGTCTAACACTGTTTGAGACTAGGCTCTAAAGAAAGCTGTCTCTGGTGTGGACCAATCAGTTTCAAAGACAATGCATATAACTGTCAGAGAATGTTTTTTAATTTGTATTTTCACGACAAGTATTGTGGTTAATGCAGACATGATTCCTTGCAAAAGGTTTCAGTTTGGTGTTTTAACATCTTCACACCTGTTTTATTGCCAGAAAGGGGAAAACCTATTCTTATACTTATGGATCTGATATTCATGGATATTACTATCTGAATTGTATTTTTTTTGCAAGTCAGCTCACAATAAAGGTCTTGAACTAACCTGAAATTAGAATGACCAGGACTGAACCACCCTCAAACCCAAAAACTGAAATATTTTAGAAAATGTGACATGTGGCAAAACAGTTATTAATTTCAACATGCATAACTGATATAATGCAACTGTGGACAAGTCATCTCAGTATAACGAGAAGTGGAACTTGTGAGCGTTTAATCCACGAGTCGCCAATTAAATGCATTTCGCTCTGGAAATGTTTACAATACTGGACCAGTGCAGGTCACACGAGCATCATCAGCCGACAGCCGATTTTCCAGATTTGGCTGTCGCCTGCTGATGCTAGTAATTACTGGCGAAACGTCGTACTCAAATTGTAAATGTTGTGGATTTGCTCTCCACCACACCGGTTGCTGTACTAGTAACGAATCGGCACGTTCTGTTTACGTGACAAACCTTACTAGTTGGCTGTGTCGGGTGGTGGCGGGTTTAACGAAACATTTCTATTTATGCAATCTAACCCAAAAAACCCCATCTATTATGGATAATATTAGTCGCGGAAGCCTACTACGTGTTAAACTCAGCTCGAGGAAATTCACCTAAAATTCTGCGCCGGCCTGGTGGCAGAGCGGTTTGAGCAAGCAGCTCGCAAAAAGGAAATTTACGAAGTTCAAATGCTGGCGGAGGGCTTCCCGCTCAGCCCATCAACCAACCGGCACGCAATTATCCAGCTTCCAACATTTACCGACGGTCCCGGGCCAATCCGGCAAAAACTGCTCCAGTCCGGCGATCGGCACCGTGTGCGTGACAAAAAAACGTCGCTATGCTTGATTTCAGTGTTAAATATAAGAAACAGTAAATTGTACACGACATACAACTTAAACAATGAAAATACTGCACCTATCTATATATGACCCCATGGAAAGTCTTCGAGATTGGAGTGGTAAGTACGGTACAGTAAATACAAGAACTTTTTAGAGAAGGACATTTATTTTTCTCGATGTGTATGTTTATTTATGCCAATTTCATAGAGTAAACACATTTAAGGCATTAAAGAACATATAACAATAACTACAAAGATGTGATCATTTTTGTTTGCAAAAATAATCTATTTTAAATAATGGTGATTTGTGATAATCCAGCGTTTTTGAAAATCCGGCACCCCCCTCCTCCCCCCCCAAAGCCAATGGATAATCGATGATCTGTATGTAGACAGCCTCATCCCCTGCCACAAGAACATGACATTTCCACCAACGGCTCTGCAGGGTCGCGAATAGAAGATAAGCACCGATGCCCGTACGCTCATTTTGAGCGACTCGGCGGTAAACGTTCCGCGTGAGGCGCACTGCGTTACCTCGCAGGTGCGCGACCATCATGAGCGCGTTGGGCATGCGGTGGCCCAGGTTCCCTGCGTTGCCGTGGAAGTAGATGAAGGTCGGGACGCCGGCCGGGGCGGCGGGGCCCCCCACGATGTCGCATGCGCGCAGGAACACGGCGCTGAGCGCCACGCCGTCGCGCGCGCGGACTCGCACGCTCTCACGGGGCACTCCCAGCGGGAGCGGCACGAACACGCGCGAGCTCGCCGGCTGCTCTGGGAAGAACAGCAGCTGGTCCTGGCAGCGGTAGAGCGTCGCCACCACCGACAGCAGCGCGAGAAGGAGCAGCGCGGCGAGCGACGGGAAGGGAAACGGCGGCGAGAGGAAGCCGCGGTCGGCGGAGCGGGTCACGTCGCCGCCATCGTCCCCGCCTCCGCCGTCGTCGCCGCACAGGTGGCAGGCGAGCACCAGCGGCAGGAGGCACAGGCGGCAGGCGTCCCACCCTCCCGACAGCGCCCGGCGGAGACACACGCTCGCTCGGCCCCACGCGCGCCTGGCCATAGGCACGTGGCTCCGCGCGTCCCCGGTGTCGGCGCGCTCCACACTCACGTGCGCATCCCGGGCTGCGTCAGGAGCTTCGTGCAGGCCGCACTGTGTGGCGCTGTCCATTACTTGTGCGGCGCACGCTCACGCACGCTCACGCACGCACGCTGGTGGCTGCGCATGCAGGCGCCTGGCAGAACTCTAGAGAGTGCCCAGAGTTGCCCTGGATTCATTAAGAGTCATTTTGTTTGCGGTTTCACGCTGGCCTTCAACCTGCAGAGAGAGAACGTTCACTTAATATTGGCAGAGGTCCTCTCTCAAGACAGGATATTAATTCGATGTAATGTTTGTAAAGTTATATTCCTTAATTATTCGTTTGCAAAGCCTGACCGACTTGGGCTTTCAGGTCTTAAATGAGATTTCCGGCCAAGTGCTTAAAGGTCCACCATGAAAGGTATTCAGAGGTAGGGGGACACATGGGGACGATTGAAAATTATGAGACTAACACAATATAGCGCCTTGGATTAAGGCGCGATATAAATGTATACGATATTTACCACGTTCATAAAATGACAGCATCACATTCACTATACCCCAAAGCATAAACAGCCATGGTTCGGATGGATTCGAGAATTGCTCAGTTCCCCAGCCACAACAATTGGGATTAACTGACAGGGGTCAATGTCTCACAGCGATTATGAATCCAAGAGACACGTGTTTGCGTGTATTGCAAGTCTAAACATGACGCGTAATGAACACCCGAGTCAGATTCACCGTGAACAAAGAGGTCGCATCACATTCGTGGCAAGTGAGAATATGCAATACAGGAGGTTGTGGTGAGGTTAACACAATGCAAAGAGTTTGGTGTTTGAGATAGGATCAATATCTGAGTTTACCCTCGAGCATAACAAACAAGGAACCAAAAGCTCTATCTGCCTGTTTAAATCAGTTCAGTGCGGAGGATATCGGGAATAGAATGTGGTCACCTGGCGAGAAAATATCTCGCATGGTGGCTCAACCGTAGAGTGAGCGGCCGGCAAATGGTACGCTTTGCGTTCAAATCCTATCCTAAATCAGAATTGTAAATGCTTTGGGTTTACTCTCCAACACACTGGTGTGCTTAACTATTAACGAATTGGCATGTTTTGTTTACGTGACAAACATTACTAATTGGATGCGTACGATGGTAGCGTGTTTAACGACACATCTATATTTACGCGAACCCAAAAACCGCTATGTTCCAATCCTCGTTGGGGGTTTACTTCAGCCCTTCGTCCCAACGCACGGCATCGTGGTCCTGGCTGGACAAGAACCACAGCCTCCTCGGTGAGGTCAAAGGCCTCTCTGAACTCTGACCTCAACATAGTGGCGTACTCCCGGAAGTGGTGACAGCGACAACAACACCACACTCAACGGAACTTCCCGTGACGAAGAGGAGCGACATGACCCGAAGCTGACCCCACCTTGGCGTGACACTTGACTGTACACAAACTCTTTAATGGGGCACCCGAATAAGTATGCCGGGTTAAAAAAAAAAAACCCAAGACGAGGGTGAACCTCATTCAAAAATGGGCTGGCATGAGCTGGAGGGCTGATGTCTTCTCGGAGCCTCATACATCGGCGTGCGCCCCGGGAGATTCCTCAGGCTCTGAACTGCGCTGCCCGAGTGTGGGGCAGAAAGCTGCCACCGTGGACTCGGCGACACCCAACAACCACGGAACGTCACGATGCGGACTCTTCACGGGAACCTAAATATCTACGCTACTGCCTTGACTTCCTGTTCTGCTAAATATCACACCAGCGGATATTCTCTGAGATTCTGCAACACATCTGACAGCCGATCGAAACCTCCCAAAAAACGATGATTGAAACAACATAATTCCGCATCCACGGCTGAGATCCAGAACTCAGCCGTTGTAGAAACATGCACAAACTGTGTGAACCTATTTGTGGAATGCAAGCAACGTGTCCAACACTGCCCGGCTTCCTTGACACACAGCTCATCAGCGAGCCCTCCACCACAGTGCAAGGCTTCCTCGACACACAGCTCATCAGCGAGCCCACCACCACACTGCCCGGCTTCCTCTACACACAGCTGATCAGCGAGCCCACCACCGCACTACCCGGCTTCCTCTACACACAGCTCATCAGCGAGCCCACCACCACACTGCTTGGCTTCCTCTACACACAGCTCATCAGCGAACCCTCCACCACACTGCCCGGCTTCCTCTACACACAGCTCAGCAGCGAGCCCACCACTACGCTGCTTGGCTTCCTCGACGCACAGCTCATCAGCGAGCCCACCACGACACTGCTTGGCTTCCTCGACGCACAGCTCATGAGCGAGCCCACCACCACACTGCTTGGCTTCCTCGACGCACAGCTCATCAGCGAGCCCACCACCACACTGCTTGGCTTCCTCGACGCACAGCTCATCAGCGAGCCCACCACCACACTGTTTGGCTTCCTCGACACAGCTCATCAGCGAACCCTCCACTACACTGCCCGGCTTCCTCACACACAGTTCATTAGCGAGCCCTCCACCAGTGTAAGGCTTCCTCGACACACAGCTCATCAGCAAGCCCCCACCACACTGCCCGGCTTCCTCACACACAGAAACAATGCGCATTCACAGAAACAATGCATTCCTGAAGCACAAGTGGATAGTCAGAGGCTCTCTCTCTCTCTGTGTGCGGCTGTGGCTACGAATCCCAACCCCGCACACCACGTAGCTTCGCACTGCGCCAAACACAAACTTGAAGACGGTGGCCTGGGTGAGTGCATCTGCTGCTAATTTCATCAAACTCTCAAAAGCAATCGCACGGTCACATTACTTACGGCTGAACCTCTGGCCTACGTGTCGTGGAAAAGGGCCATTGCTCGATACGTCGCCTATGACGAGGCTCTTTACGAGGCCACACACACAGCGACGAATGCGCCCAGGGCTGCTGCAATGATTCTGCTTGTGCACCGCTGACCAATGCAGCAGCAAACAGCAGTAAATGCGCCGAATCTCTATAGTTGCTCTTCATTGGCCACACAAAATAATCCGTGTGATACGAGCACCACTTTGTGGGGGGGGGTGTCAACAGTGTGGCTAAATTGCCTCCCGCCCGCCCGCCATAGGAACGTAGAATGGCCACTCCTCCGCAACACGCACGACCCCTCCACATTGCAGGAAGCCGGTGACGCCATGAGGCTCGAACCCCGCCCCCGTCCCCTGACCCCACCCCCCCCAGTGCTCATCCAATCGCACGCCTCCTCTAGAGCCCCGCCCCGCGAGTTGCCGCCTAGGCAACGGGCAGGGCCGCGGCCTGAACCGGGAAAACCGCCCCGAGCTGACGCGGACGCAGAAAAAAAAAACCGCGCGCAGGCGAAGGACGCGGCGCGAGGTCGAGCGCGGCGCTAAACGCCGCCCGCGCGGACCCCCGCGAGCGGTCGCCCGCGCGGACGTCGCGCGGGCGCCCGGGGGCCCCCGCAGGCCGAGACGGGGGGAGGAGGGCAGCCGCTCCGCCTCACCTCGCTTCTCGCCGTGACGCGACACTCCCAGCGTGCCCCGCGCGCGCACGCGGCGCCGACCAATCAACGGCGGCGGCGACTTGCCCCGCCCGTAAGGCGGGGCTATAAAGAAGGATAGGGTGTCACGTGCTTCGGAGTCACGAGGCGGAACTGAAGGCGCGGCCGCTCTGAGTGCGTGGTGGTGGTGCTGGTGGTGGTGCTGGGGAGCGGTGGTGTCGTGGTTAGCGCTGCGCTGCGCGACTAACCCGGCCACCCGAGTTCGACTCCCTCCCGCTCACGGCCAACACCGGTGGCGGTTATATGAACCGATCCTGTGCCTCCCCAAGATCGACTCGGCCTAAAATCGAGTAGCCGGTGCGGTGTGTAAAACATCGCTACTTTGATAGACAACATCGGCCGGGCGTGGTGCTGGCCACCCACCCCCCTCGCGTGCTGTGCCGCGTTGCCGGCCTTCATAGGTGCTCGCTAACAGCGCTTGCACCAACAGTCTGTTACGGCTACACGGGGGGACCTTTGGTGCTGCTTCTTCTGCCGTCCAAGCGTGAGTCCCTACCGCTGCACGTGGTGCGCTCTGCGCGTCCTTTACTGCGCGCGCGTTAGCTGCTTGAGCCGCGCGCGCCGCCTGCGACACGGTCGCCGCTTGGCCTGCGCCGGTGTGCGGACTCGTGTCGCGAGCGTGCGCTCGCCTGTGGTGCTCAATTTGCTCTCGCCGCGTCCTCTCGCACCTCCCTGCTGCAGGCCCAGTCATCTTGCCGTGTTGCCGCGCTAGCGAGCAGCATGAAGTGCCTCCTCATCGCCGACAGCAGCGCCGACGTGAAGTTCGTGTGGGCCGATGCGGCGTTCGCTGCACGACTCCACCGGGCGGCAGGCGGCGTGGGTGTGTACCGCCGTGTGTCTGCCTCGCCCCTCTCACACCGTGCTCCTCGCGTCTCCCACTCTTCTGTGGGAGAGCGGGGGGGACGAGGCTCGCACCACGATCGACATTAACCCCCCCCTCCCTCCCTCCACCTTCTCTTTGCAGATGCGTCGCCCGAGCAGGAGGTGCCGGCGGCACTCGACATGGACAGCCTCGTCTACCGGATGTTCGCCCCTCTCGTGGCGTCGGCCACCGTCCTGGAGACGGAGCTGGAGGACTCGTACGCGTCGTTCGAGTGCCTGGGCGACGGGCGATACGCGCTGCGGCGCTTCGGGGACCTCCTCTACGTGGCCGTGAGCGCGTGCGCCGCTCCGCACGGCGCCGAGACCGACCTCGCACGGGACATCTTCGCCCTCCGTCGCCTCGTGGAGTTTCGCTTCGGCCTGGCCTGCCACGACTCTGAACTGCTGCGCAAGGCGCTGAAGCCACCGGGGCTGGAGAAGAGGCGTCGCGTGTGGGCCGAGCTGGATGCGACGCTGAGCGCGCTGGCGCGGCTGCGCGACACCGAGCAGGGCTTCCTGGTGGAGGCCGTGGAGCGCATCGCGTCGCCGCAGCTGGCCGAGGGCTGCCTGGAGCGCCTCGAGAAGGTGGTGATCGCGGCGAACGCCGTTCCGGAGCGGGAGCGCGAGGGCGAGGAGGTGGTGCACGCGTTTATCCTGGTGCACACCAAGCTGCTGGCGTTCTACTCTGCACGGAACGCGGGGGTCCTGGCCCCCTCCGATCTGCTGCTTTTGATTCTCGTGGCGCAGAAGATGTTTCCCCGCAGGGAGGAGGGCAACGGAGCAGCATCCGAGGGTGCCTCGACACCCACGGCAGCCGCTGACAAAAATGAAAATGGCAGAAAGGCAGAACCCAGAGCCACGCTCGGCAACTTCGGTGGCGGCAAAGGCCGACAGCAGCCGCCCGGCAGGCGGCCCGGCGGCAGGGCGCCGGGCAACGGCGGGGATGCCGAAACGGGAAGGTGCCCGGGGAAGGCCGAGTTTGAGTTTGTGAGGAGCGAAGCCGTGAACCCGAGGTCCCAAAGCCCCAGCCGCTTCAGTCAGAACACATCGAGCGAGGAGGACTTTCAGATGGCTCTGGAGAGCGTCGCGGATGAGACCGTGCTCGCCGAGCTGACGGAGGGAGGGTGCCGGAGCGGCGGGTCCTCGACGCTCGCCGCAAGCTCCGTACCGTTTGTGTTTGGCTTGGAGGCGCAGCGCGTGGCAGTGAGCGTGGGGGCCGGCCACTGCGAGGATGATAACGATGATGATAAGCTACCGAAACGCGTCTTCCTGGAGACGGGAGGACGCGAGAGCTACAGCCCGTTCACCCCGCACAACCTCTACTGCTACGAGGTGCACCCCGGCATCACGCTCTCCTTGCTGAGCCGTGGCCCCAGCAGCCGCCTCGCTGCCCCCATGTCGTCGCTGCTCGACTACTTCGTGTCCGTGGAGAAGATTTTTGACGAGGGCATCCGACCCCGACTTAAAGACGACATGGATAGAAAAATGAAACAAATCGTCGACTGCCAGAAAATCGGCCGCTCGCAGACGACATCTCTGCAGGAGGTGTGGCAACTCTTTAAGAGGAAGCTCTTGGTGAAGAGCAGCGAGACTCTGGACGTCGATTGCTTGACTTCGGCATGCCGCACCATTCAAAAGTTTCTCTGCAAAGCGTTTAGTGTGCTTTACCTGCTCGATACTCCAAGCGCCCGCATGTACCGGTCCCTTGAGGAGATCGCGCTGCAGTCCATGCGCAAAAAGCTGGAAGACTACAAGGACTTCCTGCTGGTGAAGAGTGCGCGCAACATCACGATGGCTGCCTACCTGGAGAAGTTCCCCGGACTTGTCCATTTCCTTTACATGGACCGGGCCCTGGGGCTCCTGGTCGCCCCAGCACTGCTCACGGAGGGTGGCTCGGAGCTGGGTCATGGGGCGATCGCGGCCGTGGTGCGCGACCTCGTCTGGTGGTTCGTGTCTTTCGCTCGGCGAATGCTGCGGCACGGTTACAATAGCATTGCTCTCCGCAAGGGCGACTTCGTCTGCTCCTACTTCCTGTGGTTTCGTGATACCGGTGGCAAGAGCCTCGCGGCTCCAGACCTGAAGGCGGACGTTGAGGAGGGGCCTGCCGGGCAGCCCGTGGGGGTGCTGGCGGGGGACTCGTACCGCCGCCTCATGTGGCTCTCGGCGAGACGGCGCCAGGAAGAGGTGCGCTGCTACGAGATGGTGGCGCTTCACCTGGCGGTGGTGCCTGCGGAGTGCATCGCTCAGCAATGCCAGCAGTTGGTGAAGACGCTCTGGGAGCCACCAGGGCTGCCCTTGCTTTGACCAACGATGAGCCCGATTGCACGCAGCGATTCGGTTCGCATGAAGCAAGACTAGCTGGGCATCTCAAGCCCAACGTTGGTGTTGCTAGAATCTGCCTCGGGGAATCCAGGCTGTCGATTACTTTATGAGCTTCTGCCATGAGGGTTTTGGTGGGATGCAAGCGTTTGATGCAACTTGCAAAGTGCTGTGGAGCTTGTAGGAAACCCACCCCCCTGGGACCACGCGGCCCCATTCTGCTCCACTCATGAAGCCACGTGTGCCTAAAACTCTTAAAGCTCCTCTGCTGCCTGACCACCAACAGTTCATTCCATCGGCATCATCGGATTGTTGTAGAACGCCCGTCGAGTTGCACTTTAACATGAAGCTGCGTACACTTAGGCCATGGCAACGCTGTCTGTGGCGAAGCATGCGGTTGCTGCCTGTAACAGGCACGACTGGTTTATACGGACTTGTGGATGTAGAAAATTATTGTAAATGTTCTTGGCCAAATGCTTACCATAGCCAGTGAATCTGCAACCAGAAAGAGATACTGTCATGGCCCGTCTCATACAGAACTGCCAATCTAGTTATCCGAGCAAGTGCTTGCATTATCAGGTGTCTCATTGCCACAGTCTCAAGTGGATACATTACCTTGAAGCGGCTGCACTCGCAATGCTTGTCTGCAAACTACAAAGTGTAATGCAGAAGGGCAAGGCCTAAGATTCTATAGTTGAAGTTTTCGTGACTGCAGGGATCCATACTCTGGTTCTTTCGGTAAAGTCACGTAGGTATAAAATAAATTAAATCACGACGTTTCGGACGCAACACAAGCGTCCGTACATCAGGCGGGACAACCACGGCAATAAACAATTGCTGAAGTAGGCAAAAGAGCTGCTAATAACAAGGGGTTATATAGATGAGGGAAAGAAGAACCTGTGGACCTTGCAGCACGCCACCTCTTCCCCTCCCCACCCTCTCTATCCCTGCTCCACAGATGGTTTTTCTTCTCCCCACCCACCCTCTATCCTTGGCTCCTCCCCCCCCTCCATCTATATAATCCCTTGTTATTAGCAGCTCTTTTGCCTATTTCAGCAATTGTTTCTTGCTGTGGTTGTCCCGCCTCACGGATGCTTGTGTTGCGTCCGAAACGTGATTTAATTTATTTTATACTTTGTGCCTACGTTACTTTACCGAAAGAACCAAAGAGTAAGGCCTAAGATGTTGAACAGAGATGGGGGTATGAAGGCAGATGTTGGATAAACGTGAGACGATCGTGTCCTGGGGAATGGACACCGAGGCTGCCCAATGTGCTAAATATGCACTTAATGCTCTATCAATTATAAAATAAGTTTATTGACACGTTTATTAAATAAAGGTAACTGTACACATTGAAAATTGATTTTTCAAGACCTGTAGGTTGTGCTTGAAGTTTGTTGTGCAAATGAAGGCATACGACAGTGTGCACAGATTTTGGCATGGTGTGAAATTTCGGTCACATTTAACTGCATGTCTTAATTTATGCCGTAAACGGTGGTGTATGGACATGAGTATTGAATGTTAAAAACGAGATGTTCCATTGTGCAACACAATTTCAGTCCGTGACACGTGAGAAGTTGGAATCCACACACCTCTCAAATGAGTGTAAAGCAGTAATTTTTTTTATTGATTTAACATTGTAATGTTAACTTAAATGAATACTGAGAAGTTTGTCATCACCCGTGGTCCCTGGATTGCAGAATTCCTTCACATGTGGGGAGGTCGTCTTACCCAGCTCAGATTAACAGGCACATCTCTGGGGATGTGCTCAGTCGCTCGCTAAAACGCGTCATCACGTAGTGGATTGGTGTGGGCTTGCATCCAATCAGGAAATATGCTGCTTTGAGGCCCTCTGAAGCAACAGCTTGAATGTCGCTGGGAATGGTTTGCCCCCCTGTGGTGCAGCTGCAGAGGTCCCGGCCGAGTTAGGAAAGTGGGTTTAATCTGCACGGCAGCTTCACAGGCCTCCCATTCACGGACATGAAACTGGCGTGTGTGGCATTAGAACCTGAAGTTTGCAAAGTGGCATCTGTCAACCACCAGGCAAGAGAAAATGTAAAGGCTATGTTACAGTCGCACCGAGGCACAAATGCGTCTAGAATGTTCACACACATGGTGACAGAACCAGCTGACCCCAGCACCTACTCTCCATGCACTCGCATCAACAGCTCATTCTCTCCGTGTCCTGAACCGGTTACAATAAGGGCAATCCAGGCATTTAAGTAACAAGATATACCGAGTTCGTGTACTGTATTTCTAGCAACGCGGCAGAATGTGTGGGTCACCAGCGTGACCGAGAGGTGTACAGGAAGCGTGGCAGAGCTGGGTTACTCGCGAAAAGGCCACACCCACACAAGCAGCCCCCAAGTACATGGGCCACTGTAAATAAGTCCTACAGCTATTGCAATAAACATGCTCGCAAACCAATGCACTAAAAGGTATGATGTTATGTTGCAATTGCATAAATCTATTTTCATTGATAATGCATGTTAAATAAATGTATATCCGCTGCATATATTGCATAACGGTGTAGCCATCCCTTGGTGTGCACCTCTGCAATGTGCAGTTCGTAAATATAAGATGCTGGAAGTACAATGCCAGATCCCACTCTGGAATGGTGGCTACAAGGCCGTGTGGTGCCGCACACAGGGCCTATGCAGTGGTGACACCACCAAGGCCAGACTGGGTGAACATTTCTGACAACCATCTATCTGAGCATGCAGGCAAAGCCATACTGTTTTCCTTTGGCCCAAGCAGTTATTCGTTTTCAGGAGCGCAGGCATTGCACCTCATCGCGCAGTGCATTTTATAGTTGCCACGTCGCAATGTTTCCAATCAGATTCTCGTAGGGACCGTGCACCAAGAACAAGACAGCTCACGTAAATGGCGTGACTCCCAACACCAGTAGCAGCAGCACTCGTCTGAAAAAAATGACAGCGCCACATCGCCAAAGGTGTACAGACAGAGACCCTTTGTTCTGTGGGGTATTCTGATGTCTACTCAGTGCTGCATTAACACGCGTAATCTCTGAAACCTGAACATCCCCATTCATATACACCGTTGTATAGGCAGATGCAATTTGGGCATAGTTGGCCACGTACAGTTTTGTATTAAGCTTAGCTTCAAGTTCATCTGCACTCAACATTCAGCTATGCACACAGGCAGTAGAAAATCTGCACGCAAGCTATGGGAGTGTACAAATTATTTGAACCAGTCAATGTCAAATTCTACAATCAGAAGCAACTTAGCGTTGTGCAGAGTTACAGCACCAAACTTTCAATACAAAGTAATTGTCATGTACGGAATTATTTAGGCTACTGAACTGCAATTGGCAAATGTCTGCATGTATTTCGGTTTTCTGAGGTTTACAGCCAATGCTGATTGTGGGTCTGGCCCTTGCCTATGTTGACACCCATTGAGAAGGCGTCTGTCAGCAGAAAAGTCACCGCGCTTCTCTGCGATTCATCCATGCGCTCGGCAAACACCAAATACACCCCCCCCAGCTTCCCCTTTCTCGTCTTCCTACTATGCGCTGCTTGGCTCGGCAGCTTCAGGTCAAAATGCGATGGGCACTGAAGCCAACTGAATTGCACAGCTGAAAAGGGGTAGTGTAAAGAATAAATTATAAACATTTAAACCTGAAAGTGCTATCCAGCACAGATTAAGCAGTGAGATTAAATACGCGTTCTACGTGCGTTTGGCAATGGCTACAAACGAGTATAAATTGGGCTCAAGGCATTTAAAGCACTCTTGTGGTGGGGTAAGATGGGTCACTTCTTACAAAATCCTACAAAGGCATTCGTTCGACCGTGCAGATCTCACCATTTTATTTCGCAACAAATCCCTTGAGCTAAAATGCATACTTTCATGCAAATTCCACAATATTCAACAGCGATGCACTCTTGGCTCCAGAATTCTTGATGCCGACACCTCGTTCCTGAGGGTTACTGTGCGCACCCCATCCCACCGGAAACGCGTCGGGGTGCGGCTGCTACTGCTGCCGCGCTCGGCAGGTCACGGCCAGCGTTCTGCACGAGCGCCAGAGAGTCCCCGGCAACACTGGTCACCAGAGGCCGAGTTTGTCTTCACCGGCCAGCGGCTTCTTTTTATTTTACTTACAAAAATGCAGAGGCCTCAAAAAGTTTAAAAACGCCGTGTCCAGTAGAAACGTCCAGCTGAAGTGCTCGCATCTCTCCCCGGGCTGGAATGTCTCCCAACGCGGTTTATTTCTTCATGTCAATTACAGCGACGTGAAATGTATTGGACCAACAGATCGGAACTGTTAAGATCCGCTGTGAGCTTCTCTACCGAGGCTGTAATGAGCGTCTTATATCAGAATCTCGACCATCTCGTTATCCACTTGGTCTTCCTGGGGCAGCCCTGACATGTGCAGTGGGGGTCTCCCGTCCAGTAACTTCTCACCAGCTGCCATCTTCATATCTGCAAGGGAACACAAGCAGGAAAAGGGCACAAATCATGGACGGGTGTACCTCAATATATAAGTTTGGGTTGAGTTCTTGAAAACCTGAATGCAAAGTGAAAAATCGCAATGTATACCGAAACGTATTATCCCATAAAGCCCCCAAATACATTGGTTAAGATGCGCGTTCCTAAGAAAATATTTTCTGACTCAAAGCCTACTCAAATAACACTGTTCAACAAAACTTAAGATTTTTTCATGCATAAATACGGGCAGCAGGAGCATCAGCCTCTCCCTCTTGGGTGTACGTACAGTCCAAAGTGTGATGGAACGTACAATAGTTTGGGCTACTTGGCTTGTTTAAAAAAGTGGCGAGGCTACAGAACGAGGCCAGGTACAGGCATGGACACATGACAACGTGCATTTACTGCAGTTATTTTCACATTTTTTCCACCAATTTTTTTAAAAATTTAGAATAACCGTAATACTAAAACAAACGAGACGTAAACTCAAAAAAGTGTTAATTTATGACAAGTGTAATATTGAATCCTCGTAAATTTCACTAATGTATATCGGGGTACACCTGGACAATCGCCATCCCAATCAGATCCCAGTCATCCCTCTATGGCCTCCTCCCCAAATCGCTCATCACAAAACACCCTTTGATGCAAAATTTCACTGCCAGACTTCTCACCCACACATGTAAATCATGAATACAATTGGTAATCACACTAATCGCAGAGGCTACTATGGCGGTAGTTTTTCAAGGGGTCGATGTTGCTAATTGGAATTCCAATTGGGTATTTTGCAGATTTGGACCATCTCGTACAGAATTGAACGCTGACCGACTGCACCTTACCACACATTCTTCACACACACACACCTACACAACCACCACGACTGCTGCTACTATTTATTACTTATATCCCACTGCTCAATCAAGTCACTATTCTCTCCACACTTATCCTACTTTATCTCTCTTACCCCGCATAAGTGTAAATAGTACCTACTGTGAATAAGTCTTATTATATATTTCTCACCACTTTTTTTGTAGTGTTCTTTTTTGTGCTTTTCTTATTTTTATTGGCATAGTATTTTTTGTTGACTACTTATCGCTAAAATTTTTTTTTATATATATAGCTGCTGCACTGTTTGATAGGCGAGCTTGCGAGTAAGCATTTCATTGCAATTAGACTTCTCTGTATCCTGTGCATATGACAAACTTTTATTTCATTTGACTTTCCCAGAGACCTTCAGTCACCTTATCCCTCTTCTATAGCGACTACTATGCCTCACTGTTCTTGTGAGCACTGCTCATTCAGTCCTCCACCCATGCTGAAGACTGTCTACCAGACACTCACTCACCACACCGCAGGTCACAACACACCCCCACCCCCCCCCACTCCACGGCAGGTCATAACACTTCTTCTTGCCTCTCTCACATTGCTTCACTTATAAATCCCCTTCCATTACCTCTTTTTCAAAGTTCTTATATAACCTCGTTGAATTGACGAAACGTGTCAACTCCATAAATTACAACTTTGATAGTGCTGTTTATTACTGGCCGCTTGACACGTACCCAGCAACTGCGTTGAGAAAGACAATCACCGTCCCACTCGACGCTCATATGCAGGCGAGGAGAAATTCTCATTGCAAGACGCTACCCAAGTCTCTCGCTGTGCGACCGAGTGGAGCCACGTGCTGCTCGCTGACCTGCACGGTCCCTGGCGTCGACTCGCAGGACGTGGAGGCTGGGGAGCATCTTGCTTCCACGAGGGAGGGTGTTGCTCTTCTTGCGCTCCGCTGCAGCAGGATCCATGTGGGGGCTGCTGGAGCTGCCCTCCTGGGCCCCGCGCTCCGTCTGCGTGCTGCTGTCCTTGCTGCTGGACTTGACGTGCGTGAAGTGTGGCGACGGCGGCGGCAGAGGGGACAGCGCCCGCATCGGAGAGAGCC